CTAACTCATGTGTTGCCACCGGAAGTTAAAAAATCTGGAAACGGAAACCAAAACTGATTCACTGTTGCCACTGGAAGTAAGAAATTTCGGAAACCGAAACCAAAGCTAAAGCAGGAGACAAACAACTCGACTCAACTCAGCAGGAGGAAAACAACTCAACTCAACAGCAGATGAGAAACAACTCAACAGCAGGAGGTAAACAACTCATCTAAACTCAGCAGCAGGAAGGAAACAACTCAACTCAACTCAGTAACAGAATGGAAACAACTCAACTCAGCTGCAGAAGGGATGCAACTCAACTCAACTCAACAAAAGGAGGGAAACAACTGAACTCAACTCAGCAACAGGAGGGATACAACTCAACACATCACAACAGCAGGAGGCAAACAACTCAACTCAATTCGGCAGCAGGAGAGAAGCAACTCACCTCAACTCGGCAGCAGGTGGCAAACAACTCACCTCAACTCTTCAGCAGGAGACAAACAACTCATCTCAACTCAGAAACAGGAGGCAAAAAACTCAACTCAGCTCGGCAGCAGGAAGGAAACAACTCAACTCAACTCTGCACCACTGGCTTTTTCCATATGAAGTTTGCTATTTTATAGTTTCTCTCTTATTAAGTTTCTCATTGGGAAGCCCGAGGTATCCAATGGTGAACAAACGAGGAGTGTGGAATTTGCGTGGCGATATAGAATTTGAGGTTCTTTGGTGTGTATTGGTATCGAGCGGAAATAAGAATTAAACCACTATGTTACTGTTCAACTACGGAAACCATATTGAATATGGGGTTTTTTTGAATATAGGGAACGCGTAGTCTTCTTCGTGTGATTTGTTTTCCTTGTGATCAAGGTAAGGTATGCCTACTTGTTAGCATTACCATCTGTAAATTATTATTTCAACTGATTTCATCCGGTTCTTAAAGCATTTGAAAAACCGCGCCACCTATACTTAAATAAAGAATTTATTTTTAACTTTAAAATTAAAATTTCAAGACATTTAAAATTAAAACTTAAGATTTTGTTAACAGATATTTAAAGTTATATATATGGAAATGAATTATTTAATGCTGTAGTGAATATATCCGTAATAAAATACATTTATCTTCTTAGTTTTGTTGCCACTATTAAAGTTTCTTAAGAACCTTACGAATCCTGTTTAAAAGGAGACTAATATATGTGTGTAATCACGGTAAGAATCATAAAATAAGTTTGTAATAAATGGAATAAAGTAAAGAAATTATAGTAGCAATATTTGATGATCGTAACTGTTGAACATGTTGAGCAACATTTTATGGTGAATTTACAAAAACCCATTTCAGAATGTACATCAGGATACTATTTGAAAATTATAAATAGTTTATAAATCAATTCAAATTTTATTTTTAAAAGAAATGAAAATGAAACCAACCTTTGCTTTTTGGACAGTAATCAACTAAAAACAAATTTGTTGCCTCGAAACTTCAAGGTATTTTTCCATTAAATAATAAAAAAAAAATTTAAAAAAAGCTTTGCTGACCCGAGCTAACATAAAATTGACGAATTGCTTTAGTCTTTATTTTATTCTTTTTTATTCTGCCAGCTCGGTTGTTTAGCAACGGAATATTTCTCTCTTGTTGATTGCGCGGCTAGAATATGATTATATTAAATTTCTAATCCTGCTATGGCGGCCTCTTGGCCTCTTTTTGAGACTACGCCAAATATATAAAACTTCCTAGCACCTTAAATTTTGATTCAATTTCTTCAAAATTTTGTCTACCAGTCCATTCTGAGGGTCAGGTATCCAAATATGTATTAAAAATGTATGTTTAATCTGAGAAAGTGCTTTTTTGTGTCTAATTTAGTAGCTTGATTAATAGTGAGCATTAATTAATTAGCATATTTGAAGTCAACCCCGGCAACCATTAAGATTGACTCTTAGTACGTGAAACTCCGATAATTAGAACGAAAGTTATTCAGGGTGATATCTTTTTTTTTGCCCACTGTACAGTATACGTATAATGTGTCCTTTACATGCATGTACACTACATTATGTCCCATGCATCTACTATGTATGTATGTCTCATGTATGAATGTACAGTATGTTCAATGCATGTATGTGCAATGTATGTATATTCCATGCATGTGTGCACAATACATACATGCCCCATGCATAAATGTACAATGTATGTATGTGCTGTGCATGTATGTACAATATATGTACGAAATGTCCCCTCCCCTGCATGCGTGTAAAGTGTATATATGTCCCATGCATGAATGTTCTTGCCCCTTCCTTTGCAACACACGCACAATGTCTTTCGCACTCTTCATGGAGAAGCTAAAGCTGTCCCTCTTGAAGTATGTGAACAGTGGTTAAATGAAACGTTACCAAATTTACTTAAAGGATACAGTAAAAATGATGTTTTCAATATTGATGGAATGGGTTTATTTTTTAATTGTCTTCCAAATAAGACTATGATGTTTAAGGATGAAAACTGCTCAGGGTTACCCCCTGAAGGTTACCCCCTGAATGCGTCTGGGACAGAGAAATTGCCCTTACTTGTTATCGGAAAAAAACGAAATCCCCGATGTTTCAAGAATGTAAAAACGTATCCTTTGGATTACAAGTCTAACAAAAAGTTTTGGATGACATCAGTTTTATTTGAAGACTATGTAAGAAAATTGGATCGGAAATTCTTCGCTAAAAAAGAAAGTGATACTCTTTATGAATAAATGCACAGCATATAGTGATCTACCTAATTTGAAAGCAGTAAACTTGCAGTTTCTCCCGCCAAACACAGCAGCAAAGTTGCAGCCGATGGACCAGGGTATCATAAAGTGCTTCAAACAGTCTTATCGTAAATGGCTTGTCAGAAAAATGATCTTAAATATTGAAAACAATTAAAAGATTTGTAATTAATAAGCATGAATTAAATAATCCGACAATATTTTGAAACTCCAAAACCGAAACTAACGGTAAGTCGAACCTCCGATACGTCGAAGTTTTTCGTCAGTCCTATCAGATTCGAGTTATCGCGAATTCACTGTATGTCTATACGTGCATGTATATTATGTATACATATACTGCACTTATATGTACATATATTGTACTTATAAACAACCTTCTTACATATATGTTGTACGTACATTGTATGTCCATTGTATATGCATACATACGTACTATTAGCTTGTATTCATACGATTTGTGCTGCGTGCATAGATGCATGAATATTATATGCACATGCATTCAATATATAATATCTAAGCATACGTACATACAAACATTGCATTTGCATGCAAGCAAACATATACGTTACATATGTGCATACATATATCATGTATATCATGTGCATACATGCATCATATGTGCGAAATTATGTACGCATATTGCACTTACAAATGACGTTGTATTGAATTTGTGCATACATACATTGTATATATGCCTACGTACATTGTTTTTGCATTCATACATCTTAGATTGTAAGTGCATAAGTACATACAAACGTACGCAAAATAAACTGAATAACTTCAGATCTAGTGATCAGACTTTCGCATCCTAGGACCCAATGGTTTGGTCAAGAGAGGGGTACAAAATTGGAAAAGGTGGATAGACAGTGTTGAGAAAGATATCACTCTTAACTAAAAGATATCAATCAAAACTGGAGGACAGTCGCCAAACCGAGGGACCGTTGGAGGAAACTTAAAGAGAAGGCCCACCCAGGGCTGTCGCACCAGTGAAGAAGAATAAAAAAAAGAATAAATATTTACTAAAAGTTATATTTTACATGGAATTATCTTAGGATGAACAAATTTTATGACTTTGTGCAAAAATTTTGAATTCGCTTAAAAAGTTCTTGAGATATTTTGAAATACGCAATAAGTAAAATTAACATTAAGGGGTCCAAACTTTGGACCACTCTCCTGATCAAACGATTGGGACCATATTTCCCAGTTTTCGGCTACCCCCGATATTTTGAATTTTAACGTTTAATGAATTAATTATTTTTTTCAACAGGGATTATTTACACTAAATGCTGAAAAAACTAAACATTTATAAGCATGATTAATTTAATAAGATTAATCATTTAAATACATTGACCACTTTCATTTAAATTTAATAAAGTTAATAAATAAATTGTTTAATAAATTTAATTACACACTAAAACAAGCGTGAAAAATCAGTTGACTTTTCTTTGTCAACTTTATCCTCTTTGTATCTTTACCAAAACTCAATATCGGAATATTTGATGTTTCAAATTTGTAATAGAAGCCGCTATGGCTCAGGGAATAGAGCGTTCGCCTTCCAATGAGGTGAACCCGGCTCAAGTCCCCAGAGATGGGTGGTTGAAACGAATCTGCATCCCGCTCGCACACACCACAGTACTCACATGAAATATCCTCAGTGGTAGACGGATCATGGGTTAGAGTCCCTTTGTCGTCAGGCTAACCGTGGGAGGTCTTCCCCTCCATGTAACGCAAATGCGTGTTAGTTCTATCAAAAAGTCCTCCATGAAAGCAAATTTCTCCCAATACTTGATCCAGGAGTTCCCTTGTCTTCTGGATAGGGTTCAAAATTACAAGGCTACGGAGTTGAACATTAGTAGTCGTATACCTAAACAATTTGGTCGGTTTTCCAACGACGGTTATAAAATAGAATAAAAGTTGTAATAGATTACAAAGTAGTAATACATACAATAGAAACTGCGAAGTTGTATAAAATTACTGTAAATAATATAAAATTATTATTATTTTTTAAAAAAAAATAATAATTCAAACGTTATGAATGAAAGTTTTAAAATACCAGTTTGCTTCGCTTTTATTATTAATGCTATAATATTAATAAAAAATAAATAAATGAAGCTTACGAAAATAATTCTTCAAACCCTGTAAATGTGAAGAAAGGAAAATTACCTCATAAAACCCTGAGAATTACAAACTTGGCGCGTAAAATAGTCTTACTGAGAAAGTTCCCTCGCCAAGTTTACCTGCCTACTTAATGAAAGGAGTAGGTTATTGAAAGATGTTATCATTTTTCTTTGAGTCAGAGTAGACTTAGAAGCTCAGGCTGAACTTGAAGTAGTTTTTACACACAGCCGAGTACTTGAACAAGGGATAGCAATCATCACATCGCTAAGGAGATGGCGATAATTTGGATCGCCTGTTTTCTTTTATATTTTCAGTGTCCAGGTAATTGATGTTCTTTCTTTTTTTATCAAGTGATACAAGCAGTATTTAATTCCCGCGCTTCTATTTAAATTTTAACAATCAGCTCTTATTTATTTTTGTAAAAAATAGTCTTCAAAAAAATACTGGATTTTTTTAATTTTAAAAATAATTTTAAAAAAAAATATTTAGTTATCTGCAACCTAAAAAATTAATTGGATTACTACACAAAATTTATTTCTGAAAAATTTATTATCCTTTGAAATGAAATTTTAGGAAATCACTTTTAGTTCATGCATTTAAATTTTATGCTAAGATACCCGCTAAATGATCTTTGTTTTAGTAATTACTTTAGAAAATTTTTTTAAAAGCTCTCTATATCATTCAAAAATTATGAATGCAAAGGAATTCTATTTTATGATAATATTTAAATTGAATTCTAGATTCTTTGATATGAGATTAGTTTAAAAAGGGCAACTTATTAGCTAGTCAAAGGATACTGAATAAAACAAAATATATTTCAAGTGTTAACTGCGACTAGGTAATATTGAGATAATATAAATTGAACGCAGAAATATTCCATATATGAAGTCAAAGTTTCAAAAAAAATATACTAAGGTTGATATTGATCCTACAATGTAAAAAAAAATGAAGCTATTTTAAAGTTTTAGATTCGGTATCTATCAACTACCCTCAAAATGAATAATATTCATAATATTTGTTTTTAGAACATTTTTAGCAAGTTCCCTTTTTATAATTTTTAACAAAATTTGCATCAGTTTTGCGTATAATTCGCTTTAAATTTATTTATTTACATGAAATAATTCAATTTTGACAAATTTAGTCATTATTTAGCTTTCTTATACAATTCTTCCTGCGTATAAGTTTTGAATTATTACTTTAAAATGAGTGTTATTTTTCAAAAATAATTTTCATTACAACGCTTTGAAAATAAACCGTCATTTAGATGCGAGTGTAAGTTTTAATAAATCGCAAAAGCATTCTTATTTTGTCTTTTATTTTTTATAACAAAACTCTGACAACTAATATTATCGATAAGCCGCATTGTGTAAAAATTTATGTCTTTTAAACATTCAAAACAAAAAATATACAAAATAATTTTAAGAAACGATATTATGCCTAATGAATTTTGAAATGTTTCTTTGAATGGCTGGTTTAACAATTTTATTGGCTGAAACGCCTATTTAGTTGTTTTTATATTTCTGCGTTTATACTTGGTTAAATGCCATTGAAAATTGTTTATGAACTAATTTTTAAATTTTCTGATTCTAAGTTTGATATGTAATGAAAAAAACAAATTTCAAGAAACATATAAATTAGTCAATTTGCTATAAGCAATCAATTAAAATATTATTTGATTATACACTGACTAATAAAAGCTTAACGCTTTTATTTATCAGCTTTCCTTTAAAGGAAAAAAATTATATATTAGTCAAAAAAATTAATCTAGTGTAAAGGAATATTTAAAATTTAAATTAAATACAATTTAGGAATTTTTTTCAACTCAAACCATTTTATGTTTAATGAAATATTATACGAATTTAAGAGAAAATCCGTGCTCTGATTGATCTGCATTTATTTCAGTTCGTTTTTTGAAAGTTTTTTTGTAAAATATTTTATTTTTTTAGTAAAATGATTTTAATTTTTTATTTTAAAGTATATGCCAATAATATATTATTCTTGCGTCATTAGAATGCTTTAGTATTTCCAAAAGTGTTCGAAAACTTCTTAAACTCAATAATGTGATATATATAGAAAACAATTTTACACAAAATTGTTTTTCTAAGTTAAAAATATTGCTAAAAATAATCATTGCTATAAATAATACGCTGAGAATATTGATTCAATGCTTTATTTGGATACTCTGCTATGTGTTGGAAATATATATATATATATATATATATATATAT